AGGGGCTGGTTGCGTGTAAATGGGCGGCTGGTCCATACACTTGTCTGGTCACACCCTGCACCTGATCAGCACAGTCTGGCCTATTGTCTTATTAAATTCCTTTCCTTAAATGCAAGACCATGAGTCGGAGGGCCCGTGTGTCCGTGGTGCCGGCAGCTGGCACTACTGTGTGAGCGGGTGTGCAAGCAAAGATCAGACCAAATGAGCTGGCAAATAAGTGAAGTGGCCTGGGAGCCTGGGGGTGAGCCCGGCTGCACGCCGGCATTGGGACTGCATTATTGTGTTATCAGCTCCTTACCGGCATATTTATTTTCCGCATGAAGTATTATTGCCAGGATGCCATCAGCTTGTAGTAAACCCCTGAGAGGTCAGAGAACAACAAATATCCTCTCCAGAGACATAAGAATTTCCTCGGGGTTTTCAAATTGTCTTGTCTACAGTCCCCTCCTTGTGCCTGATGAGATCCCCAAAGGGAGCAGAGGTGGGAGGTACTGAGCAAGGACATACCAACAGCTCCTTCCCATTTCACGTTTAAGAAAAGGACAGATCTTGCCAATCTCATTTACCACATCAGTGGGAGGAGAAGGGAGCTGCAAACATCACTAATACCCTACGGTACCATTTTCATGTGTCTATGTGAGTTAGGAATGCATGTGGACACCTGCCTTTCCAGGGCTGCAGGAGGTTGTGCATTCAAGCCCTGTGTCTTGCGTACAGTCTCTGGGGGATAAAAAAAGCTGTCTGTGTGTGTCTGGGTTCATCCCACTGATTGTAACATAGCTGGAGCGTGGGTACGTACACCTGCGCCAGGATCCCCCGCAGCACCAAACCGGCTCCCTGCTTTAACCCAAATCATTGCACAAGCCCAGAAATTTTGGACTCTGCCTGCTGTTGGGGAACAGGTCTGCCCTCCTGCGAGGGGATGGCTGGCTGGGGTGCAGTGCCTGAGCCTTGGTGGTCCTCCGTCCTCTCCTCGAGCCCCATGGGCCGATGGCATTCGCAGAAGATGCCTATTGGAAAGTGCCACCCCCCCTCCAAATTTAGACCCCATCCTCTGCAAAGGCCCGAGGAGGCTATAAGGAATGGGATGGGGTGATGGGAAGGGGCTAGGAAACCAAAGTGGGGCACGAGAAAACAACCTCAATCCCTTACGGGCTATAGCCACTGCAACCTTATGAGCCCCCAAACATCTGTTTTATCCACTAGATCCAATGCAGGATAAAACTTTGCTCTACAAGCTCTGCTTTGCTTTTTTTTCCTTCAATAATTAGGGCTCTGACAATATCAGTCCTTACAAAAGTTAAATCACAGCCTTACCTGTGCAGAGGACAGTGGATTGATTTTAATGCTGATGCTAACTTTGGAGATTATGTATGACTGAGGAATGAAACTCAAACATTTCCATGTGTGTCCAAACGTCAAAGCCAGATTCTGCTTCGTTCTGCAAAGGTCAGGGTTATGTTGTAACTGTATGTCGAGGGCAAACTCTCCCCTGTTGCCAGACTGGGCATTAGCCCAGACCTTGCGGGGTAGAAATTCAGGCAGAAACTATCAAGCAGCTGTAGCAGAGCCAAGGAAAGCAAAAACTACCTGTAGGTACAAGGCTTGATTGTGACAGTTGATATTCTCATTTACAAATCCATCACCTTTTCCCGACTTCCATGTTCCCTCTACAGCTCTCACCTCTTTTTTGTCATCCGTGGGTTCATTTCTTTGCTCTGCTACCAAGAATGAAGCTGGAGCTCTTCCCACGTTCTGGCCAATGGTTTGATCTTTGCAAGCTCCAAACCATGC